CTCTTTGGTACAAACAAGCCTGATCTTTTTTTTGCCATAAAACACAGGCCACGTTAAAAAGGTATTATCGCACACAATCTCACACGGACCCACAGCCATTTCAGACGCGGGACGCTACGGTACAAAACCAGCAAATACAAGTTGCAGCGTGTGAAGCAAGTATTCAGGAACAGCTGTTCCTGTGATATCGGGTCTACTATTCAAAAGTGTTGTTGATCTGTGAATGATCTGCAACAACTGATATCTGTTTTCCTGCGCAGTTCAACGGATTGTGTGCAGTTTAACACACGAGGACAAAAGGCTTGCAGAACCGGGTTTAATATATATATTTATATGGCACAGAAAAAGAAACAACTTTTAGCAGTGGAGACAGAAGTTGGCTCTCCTACCTCCCATTGGATGAGTTTCCTCCGTTTCGGTTATCTTGCTCGGCCTCGAAAACAAGCCGAGCGACGGTGCGGGAGGCAATGTTAAAATCCACTTTTTCACAGGAACACATCAACATTCTTTGTTGCGTAAAAAAAGCATCTGTCGGCGGCAGCTAACGGTTAGCCTTCAGCCAGCTAACGCTAAACACAGCCAAAGTGTAGCGGACGTTAGCCCCGACCTCCGAAGGCCGACAGCTCACTAAAGATGGCTAGCAGGCTTTAACTGCCAGCACATAAAGTACTCCGCCGGCGTCTTCCATTTCCTATTTTAAAACCCACTGCGATATAAAACACTGTTATCAAACAAAATATAAAGCTAACGACCACAGTTAGCTTAGCATTAACAGCGTGCTAACTTGGATTTAAAGTAACACAATACTTTTTTTGGTCGAAAAGTGAAAAGCAAACGGCAATCAGTCGGCTTATTAACTTAGTACGTGGGGGGTACAATCAGCTTTATTTAAAAAAAAAAAACATTAACCCTGCAACGAATTTCTAATAATACATAAAGTCGCCGACTTTTAAAATACTGGCATTTTAAAATGTATGAAAGTAAAGCCATTATTATGTAATCAAATGTACACAGCCACCAGCAAACGAAGACGACCACCCCTCCAACCAACTTTATGGTACAGTCCGGGAAAATAACTGTCCAGAGGATGTCGCGAAAGAAGAAGACGAGTCAGTGTGTTGGCATCAAACAAACTCACACCACTGGACATGTGTTTTATCCTTCAACAACTATAACCTCCCGATTAAGTTAAAACAAATCATCCACGTTGTAGGCGTGAATTGGGCCTGTTGTCACATGTCGCAGAGATACACATGAAGCGGTCCCATGCCAGTAATCGGATTTTTATATAATAAACATGATGTCACCTCAACGGGTTTTCTCAGTAACCTACATAATAAACAGTTTAAACTTCATGTCTGAGTTTATTTGAAGGGAGCTGTTATGTGACCGAAATTAATGGGCATACCGATTGCGACCCCTTGTGTCTAACATGGTCCCGTGCAGTCATTGGGATATTTGTAACCTGATAAATTGCCTCATCATTACCTCACTAAATTGCTTTAAAACTTTAGTTGAGGATTGTGAGTCCCTATAAAGCAGATATTCTCTTTTTTTTAGGAGCAACAAAAACGGCAGTGTGGTATAGTGTGTGTGGCATATAAGCATATTCATCTCACCTCTCGCCTCCTGCAGTAGCATCGCTTCATATGGTGTCATGGACTATTATTGTTAGGATGCAGCCTGTAAGAGATTGGATATCCTCTCCTCCAGGACACATACAGTAAACAGGGCCAATGACAATTCACCTTGTCTGAAGCTGAAAACAAAAGAACATACATAAGACTTTTTCAAATGAACTCTGAGATTTTAACATACTGGTGCAAATGGGTTTAAAATCCACCCATAGATTATACAGATTAACTGAAATGTGAAAGTGAACATGGTCGATTTTAGGCTGATTCTTTTTATTATTGATTAATTGTTCAATTCATTTTCCAGTTATTGAGAAAGTAATAGTACGTTTTCCCTTTTAAAATAATGTGTGTTAACGATGAAAAATGCCCAAAGTGACATCTTCAAATTATTTGTTTTGTCTGACCAATAATCCAAAACCCAAAGATATTCTGCTTTTTATCACATAGCAACACAAATCTATTTCTAAGCCGCAGCTTAGATTTGTGTTGATCAGCTAATTGATTAATTGACAAATTATTTCAGCTCTCGTGGATTGAAAAGAACCCAACAGTTTTAGTGTACTGCAAGCCCTACTTCAACTTTATCAAATTCTGGTGCTTAAACGCCATCCTGTGTAACCACTTGTTTCAGTCTGATTTGCATAATGCTGAGAGGCTGCGCACTCAATGTACCAGACTTTTAAAAGAAATACACATTATGGCAGAAATCCTCATATTTTAACAACTAAACTTTAGAAGCTATTGAACAGAGAAATGTACAGCCCTGATAGAAATAAAGTCAGAGTTACCATCAACATTTTTAAAGGTATAAATAGTATTTAAGTAATAACATATATCCTGAAATGCTATTGTTGTAATGTAATTGCCTTTACCTGTCTGTCAATTTTGCTTTTCAGCCAGCAGTTTGCCTCTGGATCCTTTCAAATCGATGGCAGAGCATCACAATGACTTAGCAATTTCAAATTCTCCATAGGTTCACCAGGCATCCTCTGTCTACTCACTCAGTGTGACCGACTCCTGCAATCAACACGTCACCGTCTCAGAGAACCAACGTCCGTGTTACACATGCAGCCAAGAGGGCGAGAAACTGCTGCAGGATACAGGGAGTTGTGTTGCTGAGCACCTCAGGCTGCTGAATCGGGGGGACTGGAAACTCGATCTGTGCTAAAAATAAAGAAACATCGCCAGCATAGCCAGAGAGGAGGTGTGTCACTCTCTGTGTGTATACGTGTGTGGGGTCACAAAGGTGCAGCCCACCCCCCTATATACAGAGCACACCTTATCATATGTCAACATTTCCTTAAAGCTTCCCCCCTTCGTGTATGTGTGCCAATCCAAGGTCTTTCTCTCAACCTCTCTTGGTCATGCGTGTTCATTTCAACGATTGATCCGGCTGATTTCTTTATTGTCATTATCATTCGCAGGCTACCACAAGGTTAAAAGAGGCAAGGACCCTTATCAAGTGCTTCACTGTGTCATCTGGTTACAGCATATGACCTCCAGCGCAGCCAACACAAGCACATAAACACAGTTTATACCCATGTACGCTGTACATCTTTTTTTATGTTTGTACGACCTCAGAGGGGGCCATGTTTAATTTGATCTGACATGTGACAAGGTACCCCCCCCCCCCCCCCCCCCCCTTAACAACGCATTACATTCATCACGTCAACCTGCTGACTGTACTGTCCACGTGAATTTCTTTGTCACTGTAGTCAGCAGGCAAGTTGAGGCCTTCGGTCAATGTCAATGTTTTATCAGCCTTGACTTCAGGGGCCTTGTTTTTCTGACCGGCAAACTGGCATTGACTGGCTGTCAGACCCTTCGATGGCAGATATCAAAACTGATAAGAAGAGAGGCTGTGTTACAAGATCAGACCTTTCATGGTTTTAGTAATCGAACCAGACGGAAATGTAATGAGTGAATGATTTATTGATATAAATTAATTAATAAAGTTTGAAGCAGCCCCCGCAGAGGAAAATCAGTTTTTATTTACTGATACCAAATTCATGGTTTGGTGATTCACCAAACAAGATTGATAAAGAAGGAATAACAAAGAGTCCTAATTGTCAGTTCAGCACATTCAAATATACAGTAACTATGACTATGATTGTATTGGCTACAGAGCAAGAAGTAATGAAGCTTGTGTTTGTATAATTGTCGTGATGAGAACATTTTCAAATCTTTAAGTCTAATAGGAAATGAGCATGATCGTTTCCATAACACAAAACAAGTTACCACAGGACCCATTTAATGTGTTTAGCACACACTTGATGTTCAGTACACAATCCCTAGCATTTGCTGTCTTTTAAACTAAAGAAGCTTTAGATTTAAGCAAAAAACTAGTTGAGAAGAGTGATATTGAACTCTTAAAAATATCCCCTTTGAATTTAAGATTTTGCATCTTTTCCGGTGAGATCTGTGGGTCAGAAAGCAAGGCTGGAAAGATTCTGTCAATTTTCAAACAACCCAAGCACACTTTGACAAGACAAGATAAACAGAAAACATCGCACTTATCAGATTGTTCCTGGACAGCAAACAACTCAACATCCGTCACGTCCGTGACTGCATCTGGACATGCACGTCTAATCTAATAACTTAACATGGAAACACTGGAGCAAACGCTTCTCTGCTTGTGTGTCCTTGAGCGAAGAACTGAATCTCTGCTGCAGGGTTCTCTAGCTGACCATGACCTCTGACCTGTGGGAAGGGACAGGAGATCAAAGCATTTACAGACAAAGAAAAAGCTTAGGTATAGCTATCCCTTTACGCCCTGCATGTGTTCGTCTGAAGGGATTTGTTTAACAAAACCTGTCGGGGACGATTTTGCATGCCAGACCTGCTGCTTCTGTTTTTTATTCAATAACAAATACAAAAGTATGAATACATTTTGGTAAAGATAATATTAAGGCACGCAAAGTTAAAGCACCACTAAAAAAAGAAAAACAGACATTTTTTGGGAATGCTGGAAAGTTTCCCTGAGAGAACTTACCTAAATCAACATGTTTGTAGTCCGGCTTCAGACGGTCAAGCTGTAGTCACGGATCAAGTGTCAACATCTCAGGTTTCCTGAAGGATTTCAACACTCACAACTTCCAACTCTGCTGGATTCACACGCTCTAATTATAGCTGGCTTAAAGTCAGAAGGGACTGCAGGGGAGACTTAAAACTACTGCAAAGAAACACGGACACTCAAGGGTTTTTTTTCAGCAAACATTTTCTATGTTCCGAGGCTTTCAGTCGTTTTTGGCCCTTGTGAAATGCAAGATTGCTGAACTAATGGACTGACACTGGAATAAAGAGTGAACTGTCATGAAGACCACAGAATTAATCAGGAATCAGGAGGCATTATGTCAGTAATGTGATCGCAAACTCCACAGATATTTCTCCAGGTCTTCACAGGTTTATGTCGAGGAAAGTTCAACATTTTATCCAACAGCTGGCCACAAGTCGCTCCAGCAGAAATGATTTGCCTCTTCACTCTTTTAGTTGTCTTCAATCTTTTAGGTAAGTCCAAAATCATTAATGTCCTTACCTTTAGTTATGAGAAGCTATTGATGTTGGTGGTCGAAGTTGTGTGTTTTACAGTAAGTTTCTTTCTTTTCAGGGTCCTCAGAGCTTTCTCTCATAAAATAAAATACATTTTTTTAAAAAGGGGTTATGTTTTAATCACTGTAACAGAGGCTATTAATAGACTATAAAGTGCATTTATATTAAAACAGTTTAAGGTCTCGAACACTCAATCTCAAGCAATGCAGTCACTGTAAATTAAATGTGAAAACTCTCTCATATGAAAACTTAAATGAATAAGTAAGTAAGTGAATCTGTCTTTATTTTTATTTTTTAATAAATCATATACATTCCTAATTGATTGATATTTCCACTGAACCTGCCTTTTGTGAAGCACTAAAGAAGTGAGACTGAGACTAATTCACACGTTCCTCAATACACATTTGTTTTTGGTGTTCAATGAAACTCTCAGGCAATAATCTTGAACATAGGAGACAGACTTCATCAGATAAAATGGGAAGCTGTTATACTCTGAGACATGGAATCTTTATTTGTTTTTGGGCTGATAAATAATCTAAAAATATAGTATTCATTCATATCAAATTAAATATAAATGAAATAAAAAATGTGGACTACTTTTTCATGTTGATCACTGTAACTAGACTGTAATATTTATTTTCCTGTTTGTTTTATTTATATCTTCCATCTTATTTAACCGTATTTAAATCATAATAATATGTCTTTTTATTGCCGTGTTTCTTCCAAATTGTTCCCTTTGCTTTGTCGTAGAAAGGTGCTACACAAATAAATAGAAAATATATTTTCACTACATTATGTTAAAAATATAGATATACAATTTTGTTAAGTTATTCCTTAAACATATTCTCTTGGAGATAAAGTTTATGATGATTGAAAGGTTGTCACTATAATAATACACTTGCATGTTCGTCGTCTCTTACTTCTCCCCTCTTTGTCTCCTTTACCTCTGCTTCTTGTTTTTACATAACTTTCTACTTCTGTGTCTTCATCTCTTCTTCCTCTCCCTCGTTAGTGTCTCAGTGCCATGGCGGCTGTGCGGAGGTGGACTCCCTGACTGAAGCCGTGGCAGGAGAAGGTTTCCTGCTGGGCTGCATCTCCTGTAAGAGAAGAGAGGAGGTGTCTGCCCGGAGCACCGTGGACTGGCACTTCAAACCGCTGGGAGAGGAGGAGTTCAGGCATGTGAGTCCACCAAAGTCTTTGAGAGAGCTTTTACATCTGGTTTGGGGTTTGAGAATTAAAAGGGCTCTCTTTTACCATCAAGGTGTCTGGAGTGACTCTGAAAGTATTATCAAAGATGGAAGTACATTTTGTTAGGCCTCTTGTTTTAACTACTTTTAAGTCTTTCATGTACTTCTCTACGTTTGTAATATGTCAGCTCTCTGTGAACTTTGGAAACTGGACAGATGTTAACTGGTCATTAAATACAAGAAATACAGATGTAAGCCGTTTGTTAGTATTTTTATATTGCAATTATATATATATATAAAATGTGCAAACATATATTCATTTTAAATGAGCTTTTGCATTGAACCAGATAAATACCATATTATTACTCGCACATTAATACAATATTTGTCGTAGTTCTTCTGTTTTAGGACATGCTACACTGTCCACCATTTGATTGACTCTATTACTACAGTAGGCATATGCAGTATAAAGGAAGTTGTAGTAGTGTGGAGGGTATGCATGCTCCTCAAACCTTCCTTGAATTACAGGAATATTCATAAAATAATATCCATTCTTTTCCATTACTCAGATTTTCCACTATGACCACCCCAGTGCCGAAATCCTCCATGAAGATTTCAGCGACCGTCTGGAATGGCATGGGACAAAAACCAGAGACATTCAGATAGGAGCCATTTACATTCATAACGTCATCTTCAATGACACGGGGACGTACCGCTGCACAATCAAACGCACCCTCTTCCTGCCGCAGTATGATCAGCTGGTCGCTGTGGTGAAGGAGGTGGAGCTCAACGTGGTGGCTGTAGGTAAGGTGGGGTGTACCTGTGAAAAGGCTGTTGAGTCATCAATGCACAAGCAGCATTATTCTGTTGTAGCTGGTTGTGTTGAAGATCATTTGACCTTATATACAGTTTAATCTAGTGGTTCCCAACCTAGGGGTCGGCACCCTCCAAGGGTGACGAGATGAATCTCGTGGGGTTGTGAAATGATTGTTATGAAACAAGAGAGTTCTCCCACACTGATTTGTATTTTTCTCTAATCTGACTCAAGTAAAGAAGTAAAAAATACACTAGTTGCAGAAAGAATCATTAAACAGAGAGATTCAAGTAAAGAATAAGCACCTCAAAACTGTATTTAAGTGCAGTACTTTAGTGAATATACTAAACAATCCACCACTATCTGTAAGTTTTCTTGTCCATGTATTATCTCTCTAAAAACTGCATTGACCTTTTTCCTGGTGAGACGATTTCGTCATTCCACCATTTAATACTTAAATATAAGACCTTGGGTCCCTGTCGTCTCAGTTGCAAATGTTACACCAATTAATCAGTGTGTGGGTCCAGAGGACTTTCTGCGTAAGATTAGATGATAACCCGGTGAAAAAGGTCCATGGTCAATTTCATTCCACTGCTTCTATCAAACAGCCAATCTCTCAGGAGAAGGACATTTCTAAAAGGAGAGACAGAGTGGAGAGTGTTTTGTCAAGGACAATTTTTCAGTACTTTATCAGAGTCAGGCCTTTACTATTTGTGTGTGGGAATGTGAATCCTTCCCAAAGACTTTACAAAAAGGACGAAGAGTCAACAGCCCCACTAGAAGCTCTGTGAGGCCGTAACTCATTGTAAAGAAAGACAAATTGTTGATATTGAAAATTAAAATGTTGACCTGATGGTGGAATAAAAAGTCAGGGGACCTCCAAAGTACAGAAACAATGTGCAAAATACCCCCGAGACCCCTTGATTGACACTTCAGACCCCCTGAAATCCTCAATAGCAAAATTTATTGTGTGTTAAGTCTGTGTTTGAACGGGTATTTAGCACACTGTTCACAGAGATCATGAACGAGCTGCACCAAATTGTATTGTATTAACTCTGTAGGATTCCTCCTCTGGGGAACATGAAAACCAAACAAAATTGGGCCAATCCGTCGTGTAGATGTTGAACTATTTCTGTGGCTAAATGAACATTTTTGTCCAAACGGCACTCGAGGTCACCAAAGTAATTTAATCATTTAGAATGGATCTGGGTTTTCAATTTGTCACTTTCTTGGTTCATTTTCTGAAGGCACAAAGGGGAGCCTGGATGGAGTTGATGAGGGACAAACAAGAAGCAGTTACTACATTTGCCACGCAAGCAAACATGATCAAAAACACAATTCAGCAACAACAGAGGCAGCCAAACTCTTTGTGCATGTTATGATCTTTTCCAACATGACATACTGTTTTACAAGCTGGTCACAAGCAAGCAAGACAACCCTGAAACCTATTGAGTCCCTTTACAAACAGACACTTAAAAACAGTTGAACGAAAGGCCAACAGCTATCTCCATTGCAATATAGTTCAAAAGTCCAATCTATTTAATTTCGATAGTTTTAAACATTTTGCAGATGCTTGCCTTGTCTTTAAGGTTCTACATGCACCTCCCACACCGAATCACTTCATAATGCGGAAGGATAGTAGCGGCAGGGTAACAAGACACACCTGAGGGGACAAGTTTGGGCAAACAGTCTTCTCAGTCAGAGCCACCCACAACTAGAACAGTCCTCCTCTTGAGTTAAGAGAAAGCACTAATTACCCAACCTTTAAACAAAAACTGAAGAGATGGTTTAACACAAAACAAACCTGCAATCACGAGTAATCATATTACCTCATCTCTGGCACTGCCATTATATACTCTCATTGATTTTACAAATCTGCTACTTTTGTAGTGTATTTATGTATTTTATTGTATTGTATCATATTCTGTTGTATTGTGTGGTACAGTGTTGTACTATAGTGTTTGCTGTTGAATTGTACTGATAATATTAGGCCACTAAATTGTAATAACCTGCCCAGCGACTACAGACGGAAATTAGCTCTCTAGCTACCTCGGATGAAACTAAAATGTTGATTAATGTGCACTGTCCCTGGTGAATAAATAAATTAATAAAAATATTTTTTGCAGTCAGCGTCTAGTGGCCATTTAAGAAACTGCAGCTCCAAACAATTAGCATCTTAATTTAGCCGTGCTGGTTGCCAGTTGATGTTTTCCTCCCCTGAAGCAATGCTGGCTGACCCCTTCAAGATCAGCCATGAATGCATTTCATGAATGAAGGAAGACACACTCTTAAACCTGGTGGACTTCCTCTGTAATTCTTCACTGTTGCTTCCTCTTTCCCAGCCAATCGGGAGCTGACAGTGGTGATCGCAGAGATTATGATGTACGTGCTGATCGTGGTTCTGCAGCTGTGGCTCGTTGTGGTTCTGGTTTACTGTTACAAGAAGATTTCGGAGGAGCACGAAGCTCGGGATGCCCGTAAAGCTCTCAAGGCTCAGGCAGAGTGAGTCATTTGTCTTTAATGTGAAGTATTACTAAGGTGATTCATTTCAGATCAATTGTTACGCCTTTAATCAATATACTGGGGTCAAGGGTCTTAATAGATGCCATACATTTTAATACAGTATACTATGTACAGGGTTGGGCATTAACTGATTGCATATCAGATTACCAAAAATAAGAAACTATAATCAGCAAAATGAACAATCAGATTATAGTTTCACTGTCAAGTATTACTTCTTTAAAATATACGTTAATGCCATGTTTTCGTTAAAGGTGCAATATATGTTTGATTTTGAATTTATCCAAAAGTATTCAGATTAGTTTAAAAAAGTTGTAATCCAACAGATTATGTTACAAATTGCAAAAAAATTGACATGTAATTTGTATTTAGTTACATGACTACAAGACCCAACCCTGACTTTGTATAAATATTGTTAATTTTGAAATTGTCTTCACCACCATCAGCTTGATTTAGCAAACATGTATGTATATATTTTTTACAATGACGTTTAATGATAAACTTTCTCGCTGCCGTTTCTCACATCTAAATAATCCACCTTTTCTTCTTCTTTTTTATTTGTAGGCTGGTAGAATCAAAAGACATCTGTGACGGGGTGCAGCTAGAGTGACGTCACCGGTGAGTTACATTTATCTTTACTGGCCTGGACAACATCTGATTTAGGAAAATGTGATATGACGCATGTGAAAGCATGCTTTTTGCCTTTAATGTTTTGTTTTTTTACTTTTTACTTTGTATCCGACAGGTAAAATGATCATCTCTGCAGGAGTCAAGCTTCATTACAGTACCGTGATATTGCTAACAAAGACACAATTACAGTATAAGACGTGGATTTTGAACGCCTTGGTCTCGCTCAGTTGTATATGCAACCTGTAGGATTAAGTGTAAATAGAAGCAGATGGCAATAAGCAGATCTCCTTTAGATGTCAGTGAAACAGGTATTAAAGTATTGAACGTTTGATATTTGTGGATTTGTAAAAGTTTTAAATTTAATGGCTTAAAGCAAACTGGGCTGAGGTGGGTAAATATTCTGGGTTTAACGTAGCTTTTGTAGCAACTAAGTTCCTCGCTCGCACCTTATTTGACTACGCAACAGAAACGGCAAAAAAAACATCTTTTCAATGTTTTTATAATAATTAAAAAATTACAAGTAATAAATAGAGGCCACTATGTGTTGAATTATGACTGATGTCTTATTACCAAATGAGAGTTATTCAATGTCATTAATATGACCTTCCAGGTATCCGATCTTTATATTTTAAGATTTTAATGTGAGAGAGTGGATACAGCAACTCTGACTTTGTGACATTGACGACTCTACCTGTGAGCAGGATGTCTTTATTACCAGCATCAACAGGCAAAAACACTGTTCTAGTCAAACTAAACTTATCCGTCTTTGTAAATGTATCTGAATAAAAAAAAAGTTTTTGTAAATCATTTTTTGTCCACTGCACTACTCCATATACTATGCAGGTAAAGTCTTAAACGCAGAAACGAATGACCTTATTGTTGTTGACGTTGACGATGCTCCACTGTTGAAGGATTACATTTGTTTTTCCGGATGTTGCCTGCCATGTTTATTTGTGCAAATTCTGTGTAATGTGTTTTTAAAAATATACTTTGTCTGAAGATATTTTGGGGGAAATACAACATTGATTTCTTGACTTTGCTGTGTCTAGTACAAACTAGGGCTGACCCTCCTAGTTGATCAGTAGATTAGTCGCCTGAGATTTCTTTAGTCATTTAACATACTTTTTCATGCTGAAGGACTTATTTCCAAGAAACTTATGAGCACATCTGACGGTAAACACAAGATTTGAAGTGATGCTTTTGTGTCTTTCTTTGTGGAGAGTTTTACTGACTGATAAGTCAAGAATCTAAAAATCAAAATCATACAAGTGAAGAACTTCTTTAGCCGTGGAGAGCCCTAGTACAAACATATACACTTGCATACATCTGTACCTTAAATACCACTTTTTTGTAGGTTTCAGGCCACACACACACACACACACACACGAGCGAGCTAAAGGACATTTGGAGGTGATTGTATTGTAACTCAATCTAGTCTGAGCTGTGTTGCAGACAGTCCAAATGACCTCCGGTCTGAATGCAGCTTTGTTCTGCTTCTGCAGCCCGACATCGGCACCTCGTGCCCCCCCTGCAAAATGTGAACATGTTTTAACATCAGACAATACAACCAACCACATGCACTCTTCACAAACTGGGTATTAACACTATTAAAACTATCTACAAGTAAATCTTTACATTTGTTCGTCCCTGATTACTTGTGGGCAGTCTTATAAATAAATACATTAAAGCCAATTTGACATATTTGTCTCATGATTTTCATGACTCATAGTAGATAAACACTTCAGGTCTTATGTAAAAACAATATAACTCAAAACATGGTCATCTACACTAAAGCTGCTACACTACTGCCTCACTACACTGAGCTGTTGTCCTTGCCCTGTGACCTCATTTCATTAAAAGTGTTGACAAGTTGAACATGCTGCATATCTCTTCCACGTAAAAGCTCAAGCATGAAGGAGGGCACATTATGACCAAGACAAGGGGGGGGGGGGGTATAGCTTCTTTTGGAGGTCTAGTTTGCAACCAGCTTCTTCTAGTCCTGCTGGAGATACATGACTTGAAGTGATCGATCATCTCAGCAGCAACTGATTCCAGATCCTTGGAAGGTAGGCTTTTCTTTCTCCTGAACGAAGCTTGAACACCACATAATTTGTGGGAGACAATGTCTATATCACATCACTTTCACTCTCCTAACACCACGAGTAACTCTGAAAAGGTGCTTATCCAGCATTCAGGCTCAGGTTTGTTGGGTAGGAGTCAAAGAATATATTTCTAATATCTTATTTTGACACATGACGACATGTCAAAGTGTCACTTAAATATATAATTATAAATTCAGGATAAATGGGTTGTATTTAAAATCACTGCGAGTAATTTTCTCACTCATTCTATCAAAGTTGATTCGAACAGAAAACATTTTAGCAGCTTGTGAATTCAATAATCTCCAACTCAGAAACCACGATCTTCTTGTCTGTTACTTCTTGGGCTGTTGTGAGCCGGTTAGGGGGAATAATTTAGATATTAACATAATAATAATACAATGGTGAAATATAGAATAATTTCTGCATAGATCAAGTAGGGGGGTTATCAATCTTTTTCGTATGGTCTCCTCTTCCTCCTCAGTTGCAGTTTTCTGGACGTCCAGCAGAGGTCAGGCATGTCCCACTTCAACACCACCGAGCTGCAGTCTCTCCTGCTCTCCTTCCTGCAGCACTGCCTCAACAGCACCAGAATACTGTCTCCACAGTTGCCTCAGAACTACACTACCCAGCAGGCTGCGCACCACGTGGCTGGAGCCAGGGCCCACGGCGAGTCTCAGGGCATGATGTACATCCTTCTGGTGGTTGGCATGTTCAGCTTCTTCACATTCGGCATCATGTTCAGCTACATTCGCTCCAAGAAGCTGGAGAGCTCTCAGGATCCGTACCACCAGTACATCGCCCACGACTGGACCAAGGTGTCGACTCCGTCCTGGGCCGTGGCTCAGGCGCTGCACAGGGAAGCTGCCGGTAACGGAGCCAGCAGCAAGGGGCCCATCGTCATCTGCAACCCTGCAACACTGGAGCAGCTGCCAGACTAGAATGAGACATTTAAACATTTCCCACAGTCAAAGATGTAAAACTCTGGAACACAAGGATTTTGATTACCTTTACTTTTAATGTCACACAGAAACTACATCTTAGAGTGTTAGGTTTGAATTTTCAGACCAGGAACTTCATAGAAACACAATCGTAAAATTGTCTCATGTTGTAATCTTTCCTTGTCAACACGTGGAGTTCCTCTCACTTTACAGTCCTGCAACCATGATTGCACCAAAACTGCTCTTCCCCGAACACCTGCTGACAATCCTGCTTATCTGGACAATAACAGCAGGAACACAGAGTAGAACTGGTAAAGCAGCACCTTTGTCTCCAACTTTGATTCAGAGTTTTCAGAAATAAGAGGGTGAACAAGTCTGAGGTATTGCTCCATGAACTGTAACGACTGTTTGAAATTAAAAAAATTTAAATAAACCGCTGATCTCAAATCATTTTCTGTTCACTAAGGTTTAGAGAGTTAGTGTTTCAATCTGAGCAAATTCTTCATACAGGACATCAGGCCTTGTTTGGTATTTTTAGGCTTAGTTACTGCGTTGGCTCTTTTCGTCTCCTTCTCCCTCTCCTCTTCTCTCTCTCTCTGCTGCTCCAGTCTGCGGTGGTGGGCTCCTTTCTCAGCGCGGTCAACCTCTCGTGACAGACTGAAGTGAACCATTTGCATGTTGAGCATCGGTACGATGAGGTTGTAATTGTCCACAGTCTTGTTGAGTTTCATCAACTCCTCCTCTACAGATGCACACAGCTGCTCCCACTGGCTGTGCTGTTTGGGGGTGATGGGGTCACCGAGCCTGGCCCTGCCCGTCAGTAACCTATTTCGGATGCGAGCAGTGGTCTCTCGGATGTCGCGCTGTGTGACGACCCAGGATGGCTGGTAACCATTGTCTATGAGGATGCGGTTGAGGTTATGGGTCATAGGATCAGCGTATGGATTGTACTCAAACTTGTTGAGGGGCTTTCCAGCTCCACTCAGGTTCCTGAAGTCTCCTCGGGCCATGGACTCCTGGATCAGGTCCTCCACGAGCCGTTCCACAGCCTGGGTGATCTTGATCTTTCGGCTGCGCTGACGGATGTCACGTTCCACCAGCGCCCCCTCTGCAGCGGCTGCCCTCTCGTGCTCCCTCTGCCGGTAGTTCAAAACCTGCTCGGATGCCCGTTCGACACGAATCTGCCGGTACTGACGCTCACGCTGGCTGGGCGTGCCCGAACCCACACCCTCGTAGTTGAGGTAGTGTCTGTGTGGAAGTGCTGTACCTCTTAACTTATCCTCATCGTCCACATCCATCCCTCCATCAGGTTGCTTGGTCTTGCTCTGATGTGCCAGCACAGCACGGTAGGCCTCTTCAACCTGCGCAAACAGCGTTGCATCTGCAGTCGGAGCCCCCGAGTCCGGGTGATAGATTTTGGCAAGGCGCAAGTAGGCCTCTTTCACCTGCACAGGACTGCTCTGTCCCTTGTCGGGCAGTTGCAGCAGCCTGTAGCTCTCTAGCAGGCTGCGGCTGATCTGGTGCACGGAGCTGAGCGCTCTGAGCAACAGGGACCCTCGAGACAGGACGAGCAGAAAACGGCCATGGTAGAAGTCACTGCGGGTAACCAGGAGGCGGAAAGTACAACTCATTTCTGGCACACTCCTGTGGATTTGAAAAGCAACTTATTTAAAAAAAGACAACCAGTCATATAAATGATGTCCAAAGAAAGGCAACTCATTCAGGTAGGAGATATCTTACAGAAATAACAAAATAAATCTTTTGTCAGGAAGAAATTACGTATCCCAATAGAAGTACAAATGGATGTTTTGCAATCTTAATTGGGTTTGGATTCACCTTTTATATTTTGGCTCTTGTTTGGTGATACTTGTGTCTCAATGTCATCTGTCTGCAAAACGATTTGGGAGTGATAAAGAAATATTGATTAAAATGTAGAGGGTACCTCAGTGTATTTCACTTTTCATGACAATGAATTTCCTCGTTAACACATTTATAATGCTGGTAGTTTATATTTTTCATTAACATTTACCACATTTTAAAATGACGTCTCTCTTAACATGTTTTGTTGACTTTATATTCTCATTGCTCGGGGCCTCACAGACCTCTTAGCTTTGTGTGTAAATATATATATTTCTACAATATTTTATATTTTCTTTTGACCTTATTAAAACCCAATTTGTATAGCATTACTGAAGTGGGAACCTGTAATTTTGTCACAAAATGGGATTATATGCATTTGATGAAGGTGACAGTACATGTCACTTAATATAAGTAATAAAATAAGGATATTTCTCATGTGTTATGTAAATTGGGCTTTGCATGGACAAATACAATGTATATATCATGTATTTACCAAGAGTCATTTAAAGAAAAATAAATGCATAAAGAGAAGTGTCAACAGTAATCACATTCATGTAGCTCATGAAATATTAATATAATACAAAAATCACAGTACATGCACATTTTGAGATACATTTTCCCTTTAACGGACAGGCTCGAGGTTACACGTTGGTCACACAAATCCACATCAATACCTGCTAACGTTACATGAGCAAAACAACTGAGTTTAACGTTGATGGGCGAGTCGCTGCTAGCTGGGTAACGGACCGACTCGAGGTGAACTAAACTAACGTTAATCCAGAACACATTAAACACCAATGAACACTGACAACTGAAGAAAACAAGCCTGTTTACGGGACATTAATGAAGGCAAGTTAACGTTACATGACCGACCACTTTAAACCCTGAAGACAACCAGGAAGTCACCTGTGTGTGGCTTGTTACATACGGGGACCTTCTTCTTCTTCGTGTCGCATTTCTATGCGTTTGTGTTGTTCTACCGCCCTCTATCGCTCCGTTCTGAATACTGCCGACACGTAGACCCGAAGCGGTGCTGTACGGGAAACGTCAGTTAATGAGGAAACACTATTCGAGAGAGGAGCAGACTTCTACTAAAGTCCTGTCAACTATACGAAGAACTATTTGCAGCCATTAGATAGCAATGGACGGACTCTGACGGCTGAAGCTACAAGCTGTTTTAAAAAGGTTTGTAAAACAGCATTTGACAACCTTTTTTTCTTACTTTCACTTAACTTCCTGTTGAGCTTAAACGTTGACGCTAATGTGTGAAAAAAACAGTTATCTTAACTAATTAATAACTAAATATACTAATGACACAGTAACTAACACAAGTATCTAAATTGTTTTGACAAGCCATTTTAATTAAACAGAATCTAGAATAAAAGGTAAAGACAACGAGAGAGATGAAATGTGTATTAACATGAATTAAGCCACCCATACGTAGTAGTTAACATTACCTCCATCTTTATCTGCTGCAACATAAAGTGATGTACACATTAATGCATCAATAATTATAATCCAGTGAAATAGCCTGTAATAATACTTTTACTTGTAACAGTATTTCTACCAGGGTGTTACTATTTATACTTAAGTTAAAGATCCGAGTGCCTCTTTCAGCACTGATGGTAGGACTGTTAGGATACCCTATATAGTTTAGTATATCTAGTCAATAAATTATATCTGGGAACCATTATATAGTTATTAGCAAATGCACTTTTCATTGCAAAATTATTACAAGTAATTCTACTATAACTATTTCTTCAGATTGTTTTTCCTGACCTTCAAAGCGGACATAATCCGTTATTTAATTGAAAAGCAGATAGAAAATTGAACCGTTAAGTATTTTAATAATCATTGTTGAAGTCATTTATCAAGCAGAAATGCCAAACACTGTCTGATTCAAGGATTTGCTGCTTTTCTCTGTAATATTACCATCGACTGTAGAATATTACCGGAAAGTAAATAACTTTGGGGTTTGGACTGTTATGTGGTAGTGTAGTTAGTGGACCCAAACGCACGCACACAGCAGGTTTACTCCAGCCAAGACTTTAACTGTGCAGGAGGAGTCACAGAAAGAACAAACAAAGACTAACTGTCCAGCAAATTAAAGTCACTCCTATAATCTCCACCGGAGTCGGGAGGGAAGCTCAACCGAGGCCGGGACAGGTAGCCTCCGGAGTCGGGAGGGAAACTCGACCGCACTCAAAACTGAAGGAACAGAAAACAAACAGATAACGATCTTCACTGAAATGGGTGTTCAGACTTACGTGACCAGACTGGTAACCGGACGGACTGACGACGCGCCGGTGAAACGCCGAGGTATTTAAGTCAGCCAGCGGGGATCACTGGAATGAGCCACAGCTGAGCCTAAGGAGAGAGGCTGAAGTGGGCGGAACACGGGGGTGGAAACTGTAGGCTGACACAAAAACAAAACATAAGCACATGGCCCACAATAACAAAACAGAGGAGCACAAACTAGGAGCAGACAGGGATCCTAACATGGACTCACTTTGGGCCCTAGGTGATGGGCATTTTATGCTATGCACTACTCTTGCAGCTTTTTTTTTTTTTTTTGCATGGACCTTTATAAACTGTTTAAGATTGACAAATTCCTTCATGGACACTTTTTTATTGATTTATTTTCTTGGGCTGAACATGGATATGAGACAACAGAGGTATGTACAAAGTCTAAGAACAATATATTGTTCTGAAGTCTTAATTGTACCTTTATTTTTACAGCTACTTCATCCTCAGTAGCAGCAACTGATGTGAACACAATGGCAGAAGGTAGGTGCACAGATATTATGTACACGGTCATCTCACTGTTACTCACCGAGTTCAGGTTGTCTATGACATAAAAGAAAAGAACGTACAACTTATTGAACAAATGTGGTAACAAAACATATTCAGTGTATAAAAGAAAGAAATGTGTTCTTAAAAATGTATGAACTTTGCAAAAACAAAATACAGTGGAGAGATTTTGCAGATTATCAGTTCGGTTTTTTGATTTGATTTTACTCAGTAATGCACCAATTCTGCAGCTGAAAACAGTCAACAAATGCAATATTTACTCCTGTTTCACTAAAGTTGGCGAAAAAACCTACAGTGCCCAGCTGTTTTAGGACTTCTTCAGCGTTTTTAAAAACTATTTATTTGATTGACATCTCCAATAAGAACACATAGGCTTGTGGCTTAGTGCCACAGACAAAATGAACACTTGAGTCACTATTGCTTTAAAACACAGTTGTATTTGTGATGTTTGTGTTTCACGCATGCAGTTAAAATGCTTCAATAAATGCAATACACAAAGAACTGAACTATAGAAATCACTGTTACAGAATCTTAATAACTTTTCTTAAAAGTCGCAAATTGTCGGTAATTTTATATTTGAAGAATTTCAGTTATCTACACTTTGAATTATCTAAGTAGGAGTTTTAAAAGCATCTTGTAATGAAACTTCTCTTCTAAAGAAATGTATTTTCATTGTTTCCTCAGGGGAGCGCTTTGTGAAAAAACACCAAGTCAATCTGATCAAGAGAGTGAGCAACATTGCACCCATTTTGGATGATCTCCTCCACGAAAACATCATCCAACGAGATAGTTATGATGAAATCAAGACTCTGCCTACCTCTCAGGAGAAGATGACGGCGCTCTTTAGTGGGCCTTTGGAATCCAGCGGAGGTCAAGGAAAAGCGATGTTCTACAGATTCCTGAATGAACATGAGCCATATCTAATTGATGAGCTCAGGAGAACGGAAGTGCCAGTGAGTAAAACCTTAGTGATGTAAAGCATTTTAAGAAGTGTGGAGATCACAGGTGAAACCTCTCATATAGTCTCAGTTTTTGAGACTCAATAGGTAAATACAATTCAGAATCAAATTTTAGGTGAATGTGATATAACAAATATTTTTGAATACAAGTCAAACTTTGGGTAGTATTTCCAAAATCCCTAAAGGAATCCTCCACAAGAAAATAGGATTTACTCGTCTCCTGTAGGTCTAAAAAGCGTAGCTCTGAACAGTTTACAGCGTGTTCCCGTATGGACAGCAGCTGTAGTCACATTCACACACGTCACAACGGATTTCAACAGAGTCAAGAAAACATCAATAGAAACTTCACAAACTACTTTTGCTGCATAGTTGACCTGGTGTCTGAAAGTCAGAGCCTATGATTCACATCATTTTACATGTAAACCATTCAATGACCCATCATGCTCTGTGTGGAGGAATTTAAGCTTTTCCTTTACAGAACAGTGGTTCTCATGAACATATTTCCTTTATGAACATATCATTGGAATTTTACAGGTGGAAACAATGATGACTGCTGAAGAGCTGCTTTTGGAAACTCTCTATGATTTGAGCTCCGAGGAGTTAAAGAAATTCAGGTGGTTGCTGCAGTTCAACTTCCTCCACTGGGGCCTTCCACGAATCTCATGGAGACGACTGTATTGGGCACACTGGGCAAACCAACTGGTGGATGTGTTGGTGGAGATATGGAATCAACAGTCTGTGGAGGTGACCAAGGAGGTTTTCATGGACATGAACAGGACTGATCTGGTGCAGAGGCTGTCGAAGACCAGCTCAGGACCAAAAGGTAAGATAAAGAAAACATTCACATTAATAATATTTAATATGCATGTGTAACGGGTGTGGTAAGGACCCAGAAACAGTACCACGGAATAGTTGGTACGAAACTTCATTCCAGGCAGAACACAAAACAGGCAAACAGTGTAGAAATCCACTCTGGAAAGCCAAGTCATCAGGGGAGAAGGCAGACAGAAACCAGAGGAAGCAGAGGCAGAATCTCGTGGTCGGGGACAGAAGGCTGAGTCGTATACCAGGGCCGAGGCAAGGCGGAGAAGTCCAAACAGGCAGGGTCGGCAACGGGAAAACAGTCGGAGGGTAAACGCGGGAAAGTCTGGCATAATGTGGGGAACGATCTGGCAGTGAGTGTGTGTAAGTCTGGTCTGGACTGAAGGGCAGGAAACCTCCTTCTCCAATGCGGGGAACAGAGGCGGCTGGAATCCATATGCGCACTGGAAGGGCGACAAGCCTGTGGCGGAGCTGGTCAGGGTGTTGTGAGCGTATTCTACCCACATCAGCTGGCGGGACGAGGAGGCAGGATTCCGGGAGACCAAGCAGCGGAGGGCCATTTCCATCTCCTGGTTCTTCCTCTCCGTCTGGCTGTTGGATTGGGGCTGAAACCCAGAGGACAGACTGACGGTGGCCCCCAGCAGAGCACAGAACTCCCTCCAGAAGATGGAGGTGAACTGAGGACCTCGGGCGGAAACTACGTCGACTGGAATCCCATGCAAGTGGAAGATGTGCAAGGAGATGAGTTCTGCTGTCTTTTTAGCAGACGGGACTTTGGGCAGAGGAATAAAATGGGCCAGCTTGCTAAATCTGTCGACCACTGTCAGGATGGCGGTGTGGCCCTCAGATGGTGGTAGCCCAGTGACAAAGTCCAGGGAGCTGTGGGACCACGGACGATGAGGCACTGGGAGAGGCTGCAGGAGGCCGGCCGGAGCCTGGTGAGAAGGCTTGTGTTGATTGCAGACTGGGCAGGCGTTGATGAATTCCCTGGTGTCCCCGTTGAGCGAGACCCACCAGAAGCGCTGCCAAAGAGCGTCCTGGGTCCTTTGGATACCCAGGTGGCAGGTAAGTTTTGAGGAGTGGGCCCACTGGAGGACGTCGGACCGAAGGGCCTGAGGGACAAACATGCGTTTAGGAGGACACGCGTTGGGACCGGCTTGACCCTTGGCCCTCACTGATTCCTCAATCTCCCAGGTGAGGACAGCGACTTGGCAGGAGGCAGGAAGGATGGAAGAGGAGCCAGAGGTAGGTTCCTCCTTCCTCTGGAACTGATGGGAAAGGGCATCCGGCTTGACATTGCGGGACCCCGGGGCGATAGGAGAGAATTAAGTGGAACCGTGTGAAGAATAGCAACCACCTGGCCTGTCGAAAATTGAGTCTTGGCTGTGTGGATGCTCAAGGTTCTTATGGTCGGTCCAAACCAGGAATGGGAGTTTGGTCCCCTCCAGTCAGTGAAGCCACTCCTCCAGGGCCGGCTTCACTGCAAGTAGTTCCCGATTGCCAATGTCATAGTTTCTCTCGGCGGGGGAAAGCCGACAAGAGAAAAAGGCGCAGGGATGGAGCTTCTGGTGAGCGGCTGAGGGTTTCCAACCCCGAAAAGCCCCCGTAGTCCAGTCGATGTGGGGGTTGTGTCGACGCAGCCAGGGGTATCACAGAATGAGGGGGATACGAGGGGTTTGCAAATGTGGAAGCTGATGGTGTTGTGGTGGTTGCCGGACAGAAGCATGTGGACCGGAACGGTTTGATGCATCACCGTCCCCAGAAGATGACTGTCAAGGGCGCTGGCCGGAACAGACTGGGGGAGAGGTATCCGGTCAATCCCCAACTGTCTAGCGAGTCCTTCGTTCATAATGGACGCATCTGCTCCTGAATTCAGGAAGGTGGAAATAGTCTGGGAACCCCCAGGTAGAAGTAACTTGGCGTGGAATAGTGGTCTTTGGCAGAAGGAGGGTCGGGAAACTGCTCGGCTCACCAGTACCTCCCTGTTTACTGGTGAACCCGGGCTTTTACCGGGCCGTTGTGAGCAAAATTACCGGCGCTTCATCAGCCGCCTGGCCTGGCCAGCGGCGTCTGGTCCCATGGACACCACCCCGAAGACCTTGTCGGAGAAAGACCGGAAGGAAGCACAGGCAGGAGTACGCCGATCCCATTACGCCGTTCCCCACAGGCGAGCTTTCCCCGTCAGGTGGTTATTGGTGAACGCCACTCTGGCGTCCTCAGAAGTGAAGGTTTGGGGTTGCAACGCAAACAGGATGTAACAGTTCCTCAGGAATGCTTTGCAACCCTCCGGGTCCCCAGCGTAACGCTCTGGCTCCCCCAGCCGGGGCTCCGAGAGTGGTTGGAGCAGGTGCCGCGATGGTCTGGGTTATGGCTGCCGTGAGTTGATGTACCTCGTTTAACAAGGGGGCCATAATCTGGTCCTGATTCGCCAGAGTCTGGCGAACCTCGGCGGTGTTGGCGACAAACCGGGTCTCGTGTCGCTGGATCTCCTCTTCGATCGACACGAACCGGGCCTGTGATGAGGTGTCGTATGCTGGGTCCATGTTCTGGCCAGATCGTACTGTAACAGGTGTGGTAAGGACCCATAAGCAGTACGACGGACACACGGAATAGTTGAAACGGAACTATTGTGACAGCAGGGTTACAAATACAGCAGCTTATAGTATAAAGTAATGCAACAACACCATATAGGCCCGTCATGACAGCAAAACTACCAAAGAGTTGAAAGAACACCTCTCAAACACATTCTCAACAAAAACTGAACTTTATAAGCTTCACAGAGTTAGTTGTTCGTTGTCTTTTTGAAGCGTCTACTTTAACTAATTAAATATACTTGTGGATACAAAATAGAGACTACATGTTAAATTAGACAAATATTACTTCAGAGGTGAATGTTTTGGATTTCAACTTCAAAGTAAAGATGTTCTGAGGGGTTCATGAGTCTGTTGACTTGTTGCCGTGGGCGGAGGCTTTATGTTCTCGGGTTGTCCATACGTACTTCCATCTGGTCCATTGTTGTGAACGTGATGTCTCAGGAATGCCTGGAGGGAATTTCTTCAAATTTGGCACAAACGTCCACCTGAACTCAAGGATGATCTGATTAGATGTTGGTGGTCAAAGGTCACTCTGACCTAATAAAACACGTTTTTGGCCATAACTCAAGAATTCATATGCTAATTATGATGATAGGGTAAATTGATGAAGTGATGACATTTTCGACAGACATGGATGTAAACTGCATCTCGACTAGTTTCTTGACTAGAAATACAACTGAGAGTCAGTAACTCTAGTTTTTACATTTTGCTGTTTCAAAAGTCTCTCAACATCTATTCTTTAAAAACATTTTTCTTTATTGGGACACATGATCGTGTTTGTTTTTTGTTCCATTAAATTTGTGTATTTTGATTTCATTATTACCAGTCTTGTATTGTTATGTAGACAACATTAACCAAATTCCTAATGGGTTAATGTTGTCAACATAATTTCACATGAATCTGTTGAATATTATTCATTGAACTGAAGAAAAATGATTCCTCAAAGCCATGTAGTTACTTTAATTTACATTTCAGTCTCGCAAATAAGACGTAGTTTATTTTTATTATGGTATTCAGTAGATTTTCTGTTCATTATGCAATCAAACCTTAACATTATAGTTCTTGTAGTCTGACAGTGTGTTATTATAAAGCCTGGTGTTAAATCAGTCATCTATATTTCTTTTCTCCTCAGAGAAACACACTGTGGGTGAACATTGGCCTGGACTGATCCAGAAAGTGAGTAATGTCACATCTGTCTGACTTTAAACTAAAGCTGAAACAATTAATCAATCAGTTGATGAACAGAAAATAAATCACAACTATTTTGACAATCTCTTAATCGTTTAGTACTTTTTTTGAAGCAAAATTTAAAATATTGTTGCGAAGATCTTCTTTTCTCTGTTCTGTATCATTGTAAACTGAATATTTTTGGGTTTGGGCTGTTGAGTCAGACAAAACAAGACTTTTAAAGATGTCAACGTGGACTTTAGGGAATTGTGATCTTTAACCATTTTCTGACATTTTATAGACCAAACAATGAATCGATCAATTTAGAAAATAATCGTCACATTCATCAATAATAAGAATGATAGTTAAGTGAAATGAGTGCACAGGAGTAAGGGTAAGTAGGAAGCTGATGAATCTCAAGTACTCCAGGTGGATTTTATATTATGTTCTTAAAAGGATTAATGTATTTATGTTATTTTATTTATATTTCGATCTCCCGCGGGAGATCCACAGACGGATCGGTGCGGCTGCAGCAGTAAAGCAGGCGCTGCACCGGACCGTCTTGGTGAAGAGGGAGCTGAGCCGGAAGGCAAAGCTCTCAATTTACCACTCGGTTTACGTTCCTACCCTCACCTATGGTCACGAACTCTGGGTCGTGACCAAAAGGACAAGGTCGCGGCTACAAGCGTGGGTGGCCGGGCTCAGCCTTAGAGATAGGGTAAGGAGCTCGGTCATCAGGAGGGAGCTTGGAGTCGAGCCGCTACTCCTTCGCGTCGAAAGGAGTCAGCTGAGGTGGTTCGGGCATCTAATTAGGATGCCTCCCACTGGAGGTTTTCCAGGCACGTCCAACTGAGAAGAGACCCCGGGGACGACCCAGAACACGCTGGAGGGATTACATCTCCCAGCTGGCCTGGGAACGCCTCGGGATCCCCCAGAATGAGCTGGAACATGTTGCCGGTGAGAGGGAGGTCTGGGTCAGCCTGCTTGGCCTGTTGCCACCGCGACCCGACTCCAGATAAGCGGAGGAAAATGGATGGATGGATGGATTTATATTTCTTCCTTTTATTTCTATGAAGGCACATTATTGATTGATTGAAATGTTGTTTATGTTGTTCACATTCATCAATAATAAGAATGATAGTTAACTGAAATGAGTGCACAGGAGTAAGGGTAAGTAGGAAGCTGATGAATCTCAAGTACTCCAGGTGGATTTTATATTGTGTTCTTAAAAGGATTAATGTATTTATGTTATTTTTTTATATTTCTAAATATTATTTCTATGAAGGCACATTATTGATTGAGTGAAATGTTGTTCATCCCACTTGTTCTTGGAGTTGCACGGGGTTGGGAGGGAGCAATGGGGAAGGACATAAGATGTATTTGTAGATATTTGTACACTGATTGTTTTGTATATTGAAAAAAAAAGTCATTAAACTATGAAAATAATAATAAGTTGCATCGCTACTTTAGACAATACAGCTTTTATTCAATAGATGTAGATTCAAAATGATCCTCACCTTAAATATTGTAAATGATGAACAAAACCAACTTCATTTTTCATCAGAAGGTTTTTTCAGAACTGAACGGGTAGCGTGTATGAGATGAATTGGACAAATATTATCAATCATATCATGACCTTGTGTGATATGGCTGATGTACTCTACCACATCCACGTTTCTAAAACAGACATTGATGAAATGTGAAGAGAAAAATCAATGTTTTTGCACTTTTGCCTTTTGAACATTTCCTTTGAATATATCAGGTGGAAACGATGGCGTCTGTTATAGAGCTGCTTTTGGAAACGCTGGCTGGTTTGAGTGACGAGGAGCTCAAGATGTTCAAGGATGTCTTCTGGAGTGAAATTGACGATCATAGACATTCCTCAGACATCGAATTGATGCAGTTAGATGTAACAGACAATCAGGACATGGTGTTTTTAATGGTGCTGAGCTACGGCCAACAGTCTGTGAAGAAGACCATGGAGGTTGTAAAGAAGATGAACCGGACTGATCTGGTGCAGAGGTTGTCACACAGCAGCTCAGGACCCAAAAGTAAGACAACAAAGACAAAAACATCTTAAAACCATGAAACTGCTACTTCACACGTATGTCATAAGTTGTGTCATAAGCTTCTTCTCTTTTCATTATGAATAATGTGATTGATAATGTAGAGAAGAGACACATCATCTTGTGTACAAAATATATTGTATGACTGATATGAAAAATATTTTGGGAGAGGAGACAACAATGACTGTTGCGGTGGTTTAAGTGTAATATTGTGTTGTGTAGATTTTATAAAAAGCAATGTTGCCTGAGAACAATGTTTATTGTCAGACGTTAGATCAATCACTCATGACTTTCACTACTTTTCTCCTCAGAGAAACTCTCCGATGACCACAGATCTGCACTGATCCAGAGAGTGAGTGATGTCACATCTGTCTGACTTCACACAACACAGCTTTTATTCAACCAATGCTGCTTAAAAAAATCTTGTCATCTTTAACATTTATTTTTAAATAACACCCAAAGTCATGATTTATTTATTTATTTTATAAATCTATTGATTTTTTTTCAGGTAGCAACAAAAGTAGCTGTTAAACAGCTGCTTTTGGAAACCTTGAATGATTTAGATCATTCGGAGTTAAAGAAATTCCAGGAGTTCCTGCAGTTGATCGTCTCACAGAAGAACCTCCCAGACATCTCATACATGTTGAGACGAACAGCAGACAGTGAAGAAACAGTGGATCTGATGATGCAGCTCTACGCCCATCAGTCTGTGGATTTAACCAGGGAGGTTGTTGAGAAGATGAACAGAACTGATCTAATGTGGAGGAATTCAAGGATCAGCGTAGCACTCAAAGGTAAGACAAAGAAAAAAACACATGACATAATCGTGTCTCAAAATTGAAAGTTTAAAGGTATAATATGCAGTCACACTGTTTGTAAACACAACATTCAAAATTCGCTCCTCCAGCTCAACGAGTGAGCTAGAGAGTGAATGAAGGGACCTTGAGAGGGACTGTCTTTTGGGATTTTTATTGTTTCAGTCTATACATTGTCTTTTGGGAAATTGCTGCATGTTATACCTTTTAACGAGTTTTGTATTTATTGCAAGGCATTCGTCATTCTGTAGTGAATTTGTTTCATTCCTTTTTGAAGCATCTGCGCCCCATTAAAGTCAATCTTATTCTATGTTTTATTAGGTTTTATTCCCCTGAAACATTTGAAATGGCTTTCCCCCTCAAAAGAACACTCTGTGGATGAACATCAACCTTCACTGTCAGAGAGCGTGAGTCTGACTTTACACATTACAGCTTTCATTTAATAGATGCAGATTGAAAACCATCCTGTTACCAACATTATGATCATTTATAATGTTTGTATCATCATTTATAATGTTACAAATATTATAAAACAAAGTTTCTTTGAGCCACTGTAACAGAAACCAGATGTTGTGTTAGATCAGATGGTAGTAATCAGTTTACTGGAGTTAAAGGGTTGAAGGATGAAGGGAATCATCTTTTGCTTTGATTTGCAAAACAAATAAATACAAATACAATACCTTATATTTATGAAGAAAACAAGGTAAAACAAACAATAGAACAGAT